GCTGCCAGGCTGGTGGGCCACTGGGACAGGCCAGTCAGCTGAGCGGCACTCCCACTGTGGGAGCTGCCTGACCACCAGGGGGCAGCTCCTGTGTTGGGCCTCTGCCCTCTGGTGGTCAGTGCGCATCATAGCGACCGATTGACTGGTCAACTGGTTGGTCACTTTGGTTTTTATATATAGACTAGTGGCCTGGTGCATGAAATTCGTGCACATTAAAAGGGGATTAATTAGAGGAAATATTTTAATATTGCTATTTGCCCTTTCTCTATAATAGAAGTGTCAGAGATGAAAGAAAATTAGTAAAATGTATATGAAAATCTTCCTCCTGTCAGAGTCTGAGGTGCACCACGGGACGCAGAGTCAAGTCCCCACCCACCCATGTGTGCCTCGAAATCGTGCAAGATCCAGACCCAGCCAGTCCCCCCTCATTGGACTAGATCCAGACCTGGCTGGTCCCACCCCTGTCAAGCCCCACTGGGTGGGGGCACAGCCTCAGGTCCCCTGGCCCGGTGACAGGGCAGGCGGTGTGGCCTGAGGTCCCCCGTCAAGCCCTGCTCAGTGGGAGGGCGCAGCAGCGGGTCCCTACTGATTGCTCCTTAAGGCTCATTATGGGAACTAGGCCTCAGCCGTGGGTGCAGCCATCTTGGGGTGGAGGGACGGTTAATTTGCATGTTTCTCTCTTATTATATAGGATATAGGTTTCTAGCATAGTGATCCCTATTGCAGGTATAATCCATCTATTGTATCAATTGCAGTGATATACTGCAATTTAGTTATGTATTTCCCTATAATTATTTTAAAAATATATTTTATTGATTTTTTACAGAGAGGAAGGGAGAGGGATAGAGAGCTAGAAACACCCATGAGAGAGAAACATCCATCAGCTGCCTCCTGCACACCCCCTACTGGGGATGTGCCCACAACCAAGGTACATGCCCTTGACCGGAATCGAACCCGGGACCCTTCAGTCCACAGGCCGATGCTCTATCCACTGAGCCAAATTGGTCAGGGCTGTATTTCCCTATAATTAAAGGCGTTTGGGTTGTTTTAGTGTGGCATATCTGTTTTTAATTTTGATAGGTCCTGCAAAATTGTGCTCTGAGAGTGGACAAGACTCCCCCCCACGCCCCCAACAACCATCAATAAATGAGAATTCACAGTAGCATTTTGATTGAAATTGGTGTGCCTTTCTGAACCAATATTCTAGATCTCAAAGTAGTTTTACAAAGTCTTTCATGGCTGTTGGTAAAGTGATGGGAAAGGGCTGCTGGCCCAGGGAGGGCTCGGCGGGGGCAGCGAGCAGCCCAATGCTGCCCCACCAGCCAGGGCCAGGTGGAGAGGTGTGCAGATGGCTGGCCTTTGTTCTACAGCCTGGCAGGCTGTTCACAGCACAGTGTTTGACCTCGGCTGGTTTTCTGAGTCTGTTAGAGGGGCAAACCAGAAGACATCTTTCTGCTTGTGAAGCGATCTACTGTGACACAGACAGGCAAGGTGGAATGTGTGGTAAGAAGCCAGGAGGAGGTGAGGCCCCCAGGAGAGAGCCTGGCTGTGGGGAGCAGAGGGCACAGGACCTGGGGTAGCCCTTGCCCTGGCTCTGGGCTGGGAGGGACGTTCACAGAGGACAGGCAGAGGGAAAGGGCAGAGGTCAGAGTCCAGGGCTGTTATTTTTGTTACTTGAAGGGACACTGCTTCTCGGAATCCAGATGCTTCCTGGGTAGGGCATCCCCCGACTTAGTTTTGCTTTCGGGTGCCTAGACCTGACTCTGTGGTGGAAATCCCCAGCTCCAGGGGAGTTCCTGCATCGCCCGCCCCGGCCTGTGGAGCTGCCTCACGGGGCCCTGGAGCACTCCGTCCTGGGAGAGTGGTTCTCAGGGCTTTTGTGGGAGGCGGTGGCCTTCCTCCAGGCCCTGCCTCCTGCCCTCACAGCCTCTTTGCTCACCTCTGCCGAGCAGGGAAGTGTAGGGTGGCCCTGCAGGGTGTGCCACCCAGGGACACTCCTGCCAACACACAGACCCCCAAACTCCCCTTGCTCTCACTCCTTCCAAGGCCCCTTGCATCCCGGCTTTCCTTTGCCTGTCTGTTCCCGTGCACCTTTCCCGTGGAAACAAGGCCTTCGTATGCGTGCACCCCTTTTCTTTCCACTGAAGCACAATGTATGTAGCAAGAGGACAAGGCCTGCGGAAACAGACATTTGCTTTGAAACCCTGGCTTACCAGCTACTAGAATAGCTACTAGAATAGCTCCTTGCTCACCGATAAGAATACTAATATTTCCCTCATTAGAGTACGAGAAATGGTTAGTGAGGTACCATTTAAAAGTATCTTGTGCAATTCCCAAAACATAATACTCAGTGGATATTTTCCACTTTTATTCATAACTTAGTCATTCACTCATTCAGTAAATAAAGATACCAGTTAAATGAGACATAGTCAAGACCCTCAAAAGGCCTGCTCTGCGCCGTGGGCCCAGGAGGAGCAGCGGATGGTCCTGCCTCTGCATAAATGTGCACGGAGCCCGCAGAGGGGAACAGGGGAGCAGGACCAGGGCGTTGGGGAAGGCTCCCTGGAGGAGGTGCTGCCTGCGACGCCCATTCTGACACTCTCAGGTGTGGGCAGTGTTGGGGAAAGGTGCACTAGGTAACCTGGGGCAGGGGGCGCCCGTGTGCAGGGTTTGCAGGGAGCAGGGACCCGTGTGTGCAAGCAGCTCACACCCAGACTGCAGCTCCACCTGGGCTGGGACGTGCAGGGCCAAAGGCCTCAGCGGGCAGACACCCTTCCCGGAGCGTCAGCCCAGGCCTCCTGCGGCTTCTGGCTGAGGGTCTCGCGCCCCCTGAGAAGGAAGGCATTGGCGCCAAGATGGCGTGGCTGCAGAGGCGAGAATGGTGAAGAAGGAAAGGGAAGGAGAAGAGGGCGGTTTGCTGTTAAGCAGCCTTGACCACTTTCTCTCCACCTTCCTTTCCCAGAAGTGGCTGAGGATCTGAGATGGCAGTGGGTGCGGACAAGTGGGAAGCGGGACTGCGCTTCCCTGGCATTGGCCCTGGCCCTGGCCCTGCCCCTGCCCCTGCCCCTGCCTCTGCCCCTGCCCCTGCCCCTGCCCCTGCCCCTGCCCCTGCCCCTGCCCCTGCCCCTGCCTCTGCCCCTGCCCCTGCCCCTGCCTCTGCTCTCTGTCCCTGGCAGCTGCCCTCAGACTCTCTGCCTGCCCGCGGGAGGGCGGGTGACGCTTCAGCAAACCCAGGGCCTAGTGCACACGGGGTGCAGAGCAGCCCGCCCTGCTGTGCGGACCCAGAGGCCACAGCATCGGTCGCTCCACCCGGAGCCACGGGACCCGGAGAGGCCTCTGCACGCAGAAGAGCGGGAAGCGGCGGCGTTCCCACCGAGGCCCCCCTCCGACCGGGCCTGTGTGTTTAAAGGAATGTGCCCAACCCCACAAAATGCATGTCGATCATAGTCCGTTCTCCCAGTTTTATTAGCTGAGCAACAAGAGCTTCAGTGGAAGAACGCGGTCTGTGTTCCGCTTTGGGGGATGTTGGCAGGAGCCCCTGGGCCCCGTCGCCCTGTGTGGGCACTTCCGCTGGTCCCAGCTCTCCTGAGGCAAAAGCCCTGAAATAAAGTGAGATGGTTTGAGATCTACCAGGAAATGAAGTCGCAGTCCAAGGCGGCGGGAAGCACAGCAGACACAAAGGATAACTTGGCCTTTTACAGCCTTCTTCCTTGGGAACATCTGGAGCCCGATGCTGTGCCCTTTTCAGGTGGGTTCGGTGGCAGCGCCCTGAGAGTGTGGGACGGGAGTGACTCCTGGGGCATGGAGGAGGGTGGGAGTGGTTGGGTGAGCTCCCGGCAGGGAGGCAGAGCCAGGGAGCCAGCGCATGCTTAGGTGTCGCTGGGGTCAGGGCAGTGGGGAGTGAGGGTGGGGGGAGTGGAGGCCCCGGCCCTCAGAGCGGGTGCGGGCCTGCTTCCGCGTGTGGGAGCCGGGGTCAGCGTTCCACTGTTGGCTGTGGCTTGCTCTCAAGTCGAGGATTTGGTTTGCAGGTTCTGGCACAGGATCGGGGAGGACTGGGGAGCCGCAGAAAGGACATTTTATACACATGTCGTCTGAGGCTGGCAGACACCTAGGAGTTCCCTCCAGTCATCTCATTTTATGGGCCAGAAAACCAGTATCTAAGGCGGTGAACAGATCTGCCCACGGTAATGTAGCAGGCGGCACCCAGGACTGAGCCAGGGTCATGTCTCCTATGTCTTGGGGCAGGCCTCCCGCCTCCCGCCTCCCGCCTCCAGCCTCCAGTCTGGAGGGAGGACAGGCTGCTCCTGGGGCCCTGCTCTCAGAAAGGGCCTAGCTGATGGGGCTCCTAAAGCAGCAGGAGAGGACCACTGCCGGGACTGACCAGCAGACCCTGAGCGTCGGATGAATGATGACTCTGACACATGTTTCTATGAAAGAGAGGCGAAGGGACTGCTTGGCAGGAGGCACCAAGCAGCCTCGTTCTCCTGCCTCCTCAGGCTTTTATTGTCACAACAGCTTGAAGTAAACTAACTATTAGATACAATCAGCAGGGCAAGCACCCTTGAGAAGGCACATGCGTCTATAAGGTCGGGTCTAAAGACTCAGCATACAGATTCCAGCAAAACACCCGGGGGCTCGGGCTTGTTTCGAAAAGTCAAGGCAGGGGCTGCCGCCTTCGGCAAGGTCCCCCTAGAGGCCCCCCGACCTTTCGGAGAATCCTCCTTACAGACCTTCTAACCGAGTCCCGTGCTTCCCCACAGACCACCAAGTGTTCAAGGGCTATAGCCATTGAGGGCCCAGGGCTACAGACTGGACAGTCATAAGTCAGGACTGGGGCGGGGGGGGGGGGGGGGGGGTTGGGGCGGCGTTGTCAATCAGGAGAGATTCTCAGCAGAGAGGCCCCTCCCAGGTCTGGAAGAAGGAGGCCGTGGGTTGGCTGCGGAGGTGCGTGGTCAGGAAGTCCTCTCTGGGTGTGGACTCTGCAGCAAAAGTGAAAGAGAGCCAGAGACCCACAATAAAGGGCACGGAAAGCAGACACCCAGGGGATTTCCTGCCCTGCTCTCTGCGTGGACGCTGGGTGCTGGCGCTGCTCCTGCTCTCAGGCTGTTTCTGCTGCTCCCTCGGCTGCAGCGATGGCTGCCCATGCTGCCTGCCTCTGTGTGAGTTGGGCCTTGATAAAGGGGACGAGGGGCGGGGAGAGGGAAGGCACCTCCAAGAGATGGGGGTCTCAGGGATGGGTGAGGGCAGTGCTCAGAGAGGGGTGGCTGCAAGGCGTCTCTAAGGAGGGTGTGAAGGAAGGTTCTGGGAAGAAAAGCTGATCATTTGGCTCCCGAGTTCCTTCTGTGTCAGGCCTTGGGCTGGCCACGGTTAGGGATTCATGGTGAGAGGTGGCATTGGGCTTTGTGCCCATGGGACTGGCAACATTGAAAACGATGGAAATATTGCCCGAGCCCTTTCCCTTATCCTGTTTAGGGGCCCAGGGCTCTCAAACCTGTTTCCTTCTCTTCCCAAAAGAGAGGTCCACAAACTCACGTCCCCTCAGCTGTGAGCGACCTGCTGCCTTCCTTCTGTGGGAACGCGCTCCCTCCGGCGAGGCCCCCCGAGAGCCCAGCGAGGGCAGCGCTCGCTCAGATCTGCGGGGCAGGGAGAGAGCCCCGGGAGTCTCAGTCGGGAAGATGTTTCCTTTGGACAGAGCATGAGGGAGGGCCACCAGGCTCTCAAGCTACAGCACAGGGCTCACGTCAGGTAGAGCCCTGCCCTCTGTGAGTGAGGCCCTGTGTTAATCACAGGAAGAGATCATATTCTACAACAGGTAGCTAGAGAAACACAGGAAACGCAGACGAACAAATAGCGTCGAATGTAGTGTCGCTGTAATATGTGTTATTACTATAAAGCAACAAGGCCTCCAAAAGAAAGCCACAGCACAGAGGCTGTGTCCTCCCCAGGGTTCCTCCTACAGCACTCAAGCGGGGCAGGCCCGTGGGCGCCCGATGACGACGCTGCCAAATCTTGGAATTTCCATTTGGAAGTTGTTTTTAGAGTCTGGTGTACGCCTTTGGGTGCTTTGTACTTGTATTTAGTTTTTTTCTTTAATCTTCACCCGAGGATAATCTTCAAAAATTGATGAGAGAGAAACACCAGTGTGAGAGACAAACATTGGTCGGTTGCCTCCCGTCTGTGGCCTGACCGGGATGGAACCTGTGGCCTGCTGGTGTGCGGGACGATGCTCCAACCAGCTGCGCCACTGGCCAGGGCTGTATTTAGTTCTTGACATTTGACACACTTTATCTGGATAGGAAGCAGGTATATATGGTGGGAGATTGTTAATGACAGTTTGGGGATGGATAAGAGGTGTGATTATTATAAGAAATAAAACTGATGTTTGTCTTTGTGTTATAACCTGGGGATTCCAAAAGAGACGTTTCGAGGCAGGGAAGGACACCACTTGTGATGAAGGAGCCGGGGGACCTAACAGCAGTGACGGGCAGAAGACACAGGGGAGGGGGAGGAGCGGGAAACAGGGCAGGTACTCCTGGCAACCGTCTCTTGGCTTCCTTGACCAGGTGAATGTGCACTCTGAGGAGTGGGGCTCAATGACCTTCACTGCCAACCTGGAGGATAGAGTGAAGAAGATCGGCGAACACGTCCGATCTAAGACCCACGTTCCCGTGCAGGACCAGGTCCTTCTGCTGGGCTCGAAGCCGCTGAAGCCGCACAGAACGCTGTCATCTTATGGCATCGACCACGAGACGACCATCCACCTCACCCTGCGGGTGGTGAAGCCCAGTGACGAGGAGCTGCCCTTAGTTCTGGTGGAGCCGGGTGACGAGGGGCAGAGGCACCTCCTCCAGGTGCGAAGGTCCAGCTCAGTGGCCCAGGTGAAAGAGATGATCGAGACCAAGACCGCGGTGCCCCCCGAGAAGCAGATTGTGACTTGCAATGGAAAGAGGCTGGAAGATGGGAAGACCATGGCACGTTATGGCATCAGGAGGGGCACCTCACTCTTCTTGACACCCCACTGCATCGGGGGGTGACCATCCTGGGGAGAGGTGATAGTAGGAGCAAAAGAGAGCTTATTTCCTCTTAGCTCTTACTCACCAACCACAGCGCTGATGACTTCTCCCAGTTAGTGAGAAACAGATGAGGAGGAAGAGGAGATTTGGAGGGGGGTGGTAGGCTGCAGAACACTTTTTAACTCCATGACGCTTTGATTCTCGCGTAGTTAAGTGGCAGGATTGTGTGCAACTGAGGACACAAGGCAACACTGTGAAGGCTCATGAGGGAGCACTCAAAGCCAGCGTGAGTGTGACCCTGTGTGGCTCTCCCTGATTTATAGACAACCCCCCATTTCCTTTCCTATCTAACAACATAGTCAGTTCTAGGCTGGGATCAATGTTCTAATTTCTGTGTTTTCATCTATGTGTAAGCCAGTGCGCTATCTATCATATCACTAGATGACTGTTGAACCACATTGAATTTCTACTTGTAGGGAACAATGAAATGATTTCTTATGAAGTGAATTAATTACTCTGACGTGATCACAGTTTAATTAATAAAGAATTTAGAAATTCAATTAAACTGCTTCTCCTCTCCTCATTCAAAGCTGTTTGGTATAAAATGAAACCTGGTGCCATGCCCCTCTTGCTCCCTCTGTCCCATACCCAATCCCATGGCTCTTACTTCTGGGATTAAGGCGGACATGGATACATGTTTTCGCTGGGGACTAGAAAGCTCGTGTCTCTGGCGGTGGGGTGTCAGTTTGGGTAAAGGGTCTAGGGCAGTGATGGCGAAGCTTTTGAGCTCGGCGTGTCAGCATTTTGAAAAACCCTAACTTAACTCTGGTGCCGTGTCTCATATGGAAATTTTTTGATCTTTGCAACCATAGTAAAACAAAGACTTATATTTTTGATATTTATTTTATATATTTAAATGCCATTTAACAAAGAAAAATCAACCAAAAAAATGAGTTCACGTGTCACCTCTGACACGCGTGTCATAGGTTCGCCATCACTGGTCTAGGGGCTGGTCCCCGGATTGACACCCACACTCTGCCCAGCTTCTGGCTGATAGAACTTTTTCCTTTCTGCTTCCTTCGCCTTGGTTCTCTCTTGGAATCTCATATCCCTTTCTCCATCTTACACCCTTCATTCAATCCTCTATCTTACTGTCCCTCTCTCATGTTACTTTACTGGTCACATGCATGTTTTTCTCACCACCTGAGCCATGTCCACCTACTTATCCACTAGTCTGGTCCCTTCTTATCTTTAAAACTTGCTCAAGAACCACCTCCTTGAAGAATAGTTTCCCAACGTAACCCCACCCAGCACAAACCAGACTGGTGGGCGTTTCTCATTAAACTGATGGGGCAGGCGCTCTGTGGTGGGCACTGGTCACCTGGCCAGGCGGCGTTGGATGGAACTGGTTCCCTGTGTGAGAGGCCCTGGCTCCTTCTTCGGGATGGGGTGTGCTTCAAGGTAGAGGCTAGGATTCCCTCGTCCATTTGGAAGACTCCTGATGGCAGACTCCCGATGCCAGGGAGTGTTCCGTGGCATCTTCCGCCAGACTGGGAGAGAGCCACGCTAAGCATCGCGGGCCTCATCTCACCACCATGGGGGAGGTCACAGTACCTGCTGAGCATGCGGAAGGTCTTCCCCAAATCATGCTTCCTCTCCTGCTCAGCCCGGGAGGAACCCCGAGGGCCATTTCCAACCTCCAGGCCTCTATTTGCAGAGGATGCAGGGGTTTTCCCTGAAGCACATGAGCACTTCCCAGTGGGGAAGGGTCTCCCTATTAGCCTTGGACTCCGAGGGCGAACTCTTGCAGATTCTCACACAGAAATGAAGAGCCTCAAGGCTAAACGGACTAACCTGCCAATGGGCATTCCCAGGCTTGGCCCTTGGGCTCACAGGCTCCTGCCTACCCCGCTCCTCACTGCCCAACCTGCCCTGTCCACAGACTGACTTCCCGACGGCCCCCTCGCTGCCCTGTCACTCCCTGTTCCTCAGGTTGCAGGTGAGTAGGCCGAGGGCCGGTGAGACTATGTTGTAGAAAGTGAAACGCGCTTGCCGCGCCTCTGGCTGTAGCTGTGTGTGGGTCGCAGGAGGTGTAGACAGCCGAGCTGTAGAAGAGGCAGACACGCTCTTCCGCTGGGAACCCACACCTGTCCACCGCTTTCCTGCGGAAGATCCCAGAGAACACCCGAGTGCCAGTCCCTGGTGCCTGGGTCCCCAGGGAGCTCTCTGGGCGTAGGTGATCCGGGCGCAAGCATGGCAGGTGCGATGGGGTGGGAGAGAGATCCCCGCTCAGAGGCCCGTCCTGTCCTCTGGGGCGTTTACTCCCACTCCTGGGGGACTCAGAGGAGCACCGGGTCTCCCTCGTGGGCGATGCTGCAGACGCCAGAGAAGCCGGCCCCCTTCCGAGGTGTCCTCCTCTGTTTCCACCCGAAGCGAAGCGACCTCGTGAGCTGCGCAGCCAGGTGCCCTCCTGTGCATCAGCCAGCCAACTCGCCCGCTCCCGCCCCAGCCCTCCGCGCAGTTTGGAGGCCAGGCCATTTTGGCCTTTGGTGGCCCAGGGGTGGGATGTGCATTAGATGGCGGTGCGATGGGGTGGGAGAGAGATCTGCCTTTCCTCACTGGGGGCCCTCCTGCCCAGGCTCTCCAGCAGGGCAGGGCCCGGTGGGAGTCTGGGCGATCGGAAAACCATAAGACAAACACTTTTTGTTCCTCCCAGCACTCAGGGCGGAGGTCAAACCCAGGAAGCAGTGGTGCTGGTGCTGATGAGCAGGTCCCCTCTGGAGCTCCGGGTTTCAGGGGAAGAGGTGGGGAGGAGGGAGGGGGGATGGGAACACCAATCTTTGCGCAGGCCCCCACCTGGAAAATCTGAACTTGTTTTTGACAGTTGCAATTTGCTCTTATTATTTTGGACAGTGAGACTAGTGTATGCAGGAAAAGATGAAAAGATCTTACCTGAACTTACTTTAATGTGGAAAACACAGAGCATTTATCTTGAGTAATATTACATTCTACAATTTTTAAAGAAAATGAAGCAAATGGGCATGCGCTAGTTATTGGCATCAAAATTAACAAATTTATCCATGCAACTCTACATTAATAAAAATAAATGACATTTTCCAAAATAGATATTATTATGCATTGCTCTCAATTCTAAAATACTTTAGAAACAACAGGTAACAACTCAGGGCCTTAAACAGAAAGCGAAAGCTAAAATGGGGTCTAGGCTATGTTCACACACATACAAATAAGGTGAAATAAGATGAAGAGTAAATATGCCCTATTTTGTTTCTTAAAACTTCTATTTAATGTAAATAGTGCCAAAAACAACATAAATAAAAATTGAAACTAATATTGAAAATGCCAGTTTGGATGCAATATGGTATACTATTTGTGTGTAAAGATTTTGAATTGGGTGAAGCTTTAAATAAATTATAATTCTCACTCGGAATATTGCAAAGGAAATAATTTAAATATATGTATTACTTTTTTCCATTAAGGAGAGTTCATTTATTACTCAACCAATTGTAAAAATGATCTCTCTTTCACAAATGAGTAAAGTTATTATAAATCTACTAGAGGCCCGGTGCACGAAATTTGTGCACTGGGGGTAGAGTAGGGGGAGGGGTTGTCCCTCAGCCCAACCTGTACCCTCTCCAATCTGGGACCCCTCAAGGGATGTCCGACTGCCCGGTGTGAGATCGGGCCTAAACGGGCAGTCGGACATCCCTCTCACAACCCGGGACTCTGGCTCCCAACTGCTTCTGCCTGCCAGCCTGATTGCCCCCTAACCACTCCCCTGCCAGCCTGATCGCCCCCAACCGCTCCCCTGCCGGCCTGATTGACGCCTAACTGCCCTCCCTGCCGGCCTGGTCGCCCAGAACTGCCCTCCCCTGCAGGCCATTTTGTGACCACATGGTGTGGCCATCTTGTGTGAGGGTGTGATGGTTAATTTGCATATTATATCTTTACTATATCGGATTTCTTTCATGATCGCTATTATGCACGTGAGCAAATGTCACTCATCCTTCTCTTTCCCTTCTACTATACCTAAAGAATCATTCTTTAGTTTGCCCAGTTTACTGATTTTAGAGCTACTTTTGAGTGTATTTGTCTTTCTCTCTTCTTTCTTTCTTCCTTCCTTCCTTCCTTCCTTCCTTCCTTCCTTCCTTCCTTCCTTAATCCTGTCACCCTTTTCCCCCTGCCCTGCAAACCCCTCCAACTGACAGCTGTCAGAGGGAAAATCAGAAGTTTTGAAGGTGGAAGTTATTACAAAATCCTGATGGACTCACTTGCTGGAGGTTAGGGCTGCCTGTGTGTTTGCTTGTACACAGCTATTCCCTTCAATAAGCTGTCTTTTTTTTTTTTTTTTTTTCCTTTTTTAAATTTAACTTTCTTAAGTATTCCATGACTTTTTAAAAATATTTTTTGGCCGAAGCCGGTTTGGCTCAGTGGATAGAGCGTCGGTCTGTGGACTGAAGGGTCCCAGGTTCGATTCCGGTCAAGGGCATGTACCTGGGTTGCGGGCACATCCCCAGTAGGAGATGTGCAGGAGGCAGCTGATCGATGTTTCTCTCTCATCGATGTTTCTAACTCTCTATCTCTCTCCCTTCCTCTCTGTAAAAAATCAATAAAATATATTTTTTAAAAAATATATTTTTTGTTTTTTCCTTAACAATGGTTTATCCTCCTTCATGCTATTTCCAAATCTGCCTTCATTTTTGAAATACTTGAATTTTTCTCCCACCATTTAATTTAAGTTTTTCTTTTTCTTAAAAAAATTCATTGAATTTGTTGGGCTGACATTCGTTAATAAAATTATACAGGTTTTAGCTGTACGATTCTGTAATACATCATGTGTATGTTGTATGTTGTGTGGCCACCACCCCAAGTCAAGTCTCCTTCCATCACCATTTATCCTGCTGTACCCTCTCCTACCTCCCCCTCCTGCCCCTCCCTCTGAATAACCTGCCTTTTCACTGGAAGAAGGGTTTTTTTTCTTTGTTTTTTTGGGGTCTCCTTGTGTTTTTTTTTAAATATATTTTATTGATTTTTTACAGAGAGGAAGGGAGAGAGATAGAGAGTTAGAAACATCGATGAGAGAGAAACATTGGTCAGCTGCCTCCTGCACATCTCCTACTGGGGATGTGCCCGCAACCCAGGTACATGCCCTTGACCGGAATCGAACCCGGGACCCTTCAGTCCGCAGGCCGACGCTCTATCCACTGAGCCAAACCGGTTTCGGCTCCTCGTGGTTTTTAATTTTACTTTTTATTGTTGACAGTACTAGAGATGTCCCCCTTCTCCCCTCCCCCTCTGTCTCCCCTCCCCCCCCCCCCACGCCTCCCAGCCTTCCCCAGGCTGTTGTCATATATAGTGCCCATGGGCTATGCATACATGCATGTAAGTTCTGTGGTTAATCTCTTCCCTTCGCCGTCGCCCCCACCCCCTCCCCTCTGAGAGCCCTCAGTCCGTTGCATGCCTCCATGCCCCTGGACCTATTTTGTTGGTGAGTTTATTTTGTCCATTAGATTAAGAAAAGTTATTTTGAAGTTTGGTGGAA